TTTTGTAGAGATGTGTCTTAAGATGAGAGATAAAACAGGTATCTGATTCTGCTGGTCTAATCTCTTCAGGAAGATTGTTCCAAAGTGTAGGGGCCCTATCGCTTTGGTTTTCAGCCTTGATTTTGGAATGGCTAGCAGCGCTTCACCAGAGGAACTCAGATCTCTTCTTGGATTGTAGCGAGATAAAAGGTCTGAAATATTGGGAGGGGTCTGCCCATGTCTGGCTTTAAAAGTAATTAAAATAATTTTAAAGTCAAAACCAAACCAAACAGACAGCCAGTGCACGGATGCTATGATAGGGGTTGTAAGGTTATATCGTAAGCATTGTATCAAAAGCCAAGCAGCAGCATTCTGGACTAATTATGGACAATGGATTGACTTCTGAGAAAGATCACAATAAAGGGAGTTACAGGAGTCAAGCCAAAAGGGATATGCAAGCATAAAAAGTTTTTTCCAGGTCTGTGGGAGCACTAAAATGTAGTAGCCACACCCTAACATTTGAGTTACATTCCTCACAATAATCTGCATAGTTTAATAATACAATGGAAGAACAACTTTCCACTTAAGTAACAGACTGTTAAAAAGAAAAGCAGAATTGCAGAAATTATTATTGGACCCCTGAATCCTTCAAATTAACACAACTGAGTTTTCCTACATCAATTTCAACATCATATAATGTATCCCCCAAATCTGTGCTTCACTTAACTTCTCTAATAATCATTATTTAATGTAAATTGACATAGACACAAAGAAGATGGAGATGCAAAATCTCCATGATTTGAATTCTTAAGGGTTTTACTCTAAGTGCTCAATTTTATGTTCACTTATTCAGCAATATAAGAAGAAAAATGAGTTCTCTTACCTCCGTGGACTGCCCAATACAACTTGTTGTAGTCACAGAAGATGTTCAGTGAATAGTTAAAGCCAACACTAAGATGGTGACTCACGTCTTTTTGAGAGACAAGAAATTCTTGCATGTAACATGTGACACAAGTTGCAGGACTTGTTTTTATACAAAATTTAAATTTAAAAAGGTTGTAGTGCTAAGGGCACAATCCTATGGGTTGTCGGAGGGAGGGAGTGTCTTTTGTATGAAAACATTCTAGCCATTCCAAACATGTAACATGTTAAAATCCTGGTTTAGATCACATTGTGAGTGTACATCGCCTTCCACTAATCACTGCACTCTTGATGAACATGATCTGGATTTATTTACAGGTGTAGTAGGTTGTCTGCTTATTCTTAGGTTTCACCCTAATTTTCAAATTAAATCTGTGCATATGTGTCTTTTCTTAAATTTGCTTGATCCTAATGATGATCCTCCCACCCAACCCCTGGAAAAACAGAAAACAATTTTCCCTCCAGAGGTGTCAAAGAAAATTTCCTATGACATATGCATCATAATTTAGTACTTAGATGTTTATTATTGTCTACTGAAAATACTGCCACGCCTGCTGTCATTGTTCACCAGTAAATTATGAAACTGTGTTGTTTGAGAAGCAGTATGGAAACATGTCCCGTTTGCTTACAATTGAATTAAACCTGATAAGACATATGAACAAATGCTCTTTCTTAGCAAGAAATTAAAAGAAAATAAATAATTATTTTAGGTAAAAGTACAACAGCCTTTGTCCACAATGTCCTTCCATGTAAAGCAAATTCAAAACACACTAACTTAATGACACTGTGTATAGTTGTCACTGTGTATGTGGTGTCTGACAGAAGGATACAAAATAATAAAGCCTCAACAATCATGTGACAAACTAAATTTCTTAAAATCTATCTTGGTCTGAAGGCTAGTCTATCGAAAGCAGCACTATTACTGCTACTACTACGACTACTATTACTAGTAGGTACTGGTGTATATGTTGGCAGTGTCCAAAACACTTCCTCTTTTAGTTATTCACATCTACCTCTCGGAAAATGCAGATATCTTGGTTTATAAAAAGCCTTTAACAAAGCTCCTCTGTCTATCATTTTATCAAACACGCCTTGTCCTAATTAAATGGTTGTGATTGGCCTGACTTGTTTTGAGGGTGTGGGTTTAGGGAAAATCCATCTGCCAGAGTAAAATACTACAAACCTTTTGTCTGCTTTCCAAGTAAGTGATATGCTATGCCACACAGTTTGTTTTAGTTCTTGTGTGAACACTTTAATTTAAGAAATGTCAGACAGATATTTAATTATTTTGCAAAGGTGCAAAAAATATGCTTTATTCCCAAACAAGTGTCGATGACTTTAATACATAACTAAAACTCATAGTGGCATTTGTCACTTGTCACAAAATGGGCATCGCTATCGTCTCAACACAGTGTGTTCTGGAGTGGTAGAGTTGTATCCAATATATTTTATTCTATTTACGCAAAATAAAATCACAAATGTGTAAGAGACGGTTTACAGTCTGGAGAATACAACTTCGAAAACACAACTGAAGAGAAAAAAGACAAGAATGAGCAAAATATTTCTCCTTGTTCAGACAGATACACAATTAACAATAGAGAATATATAGAAGTAGCAGAAGCACTATCGCAATCAAGAGGAACTGAACTGAAATATTATGTAAATTGAGTAGGTATGTATGAACGTCAATGTGAATCAAACAAGATGAGGTAGAAACCATAAATGCTTGTATGTGCCACACCAGACAATGCTCTTAAGTAAGCGGCTTCAGAAAGCACAGAGACGTAAGCCACCCCAACACTGAATCAGGCAGATCAACATTCTGTACATGCAAGTTGGAGTGACTAGGAAAGTTTCACACCTTTAGGGACTTTGAACATTCCAGCACACCTGTCACATAATATGTTTAAGTACGAGACAAATTGAGCTACTCTGATACTGATATTTCTGTTGCTAGGATAAAAAATGTTCTCTGTGTTGCTGTGAACAAGCTTATTGTAAGGAAATAAAAAGATCAAGCCTCTGTATGTCAAAGGTTGCTGGCTTGGCTTACAGCTTGCTGGATCTGTTTTTATTGATGTGCATAATTCCCATGTTTTAAGCTTAATCCACAGCATCAGCAATCAAAGCAAGCATGCAATTCTAAAAGAAGCAAAGAGGTTTCAAAACTCAATATATGTGCATTGTTTATTGTATTACTGTGTATTCAAGTTAAGCACTGTAGGAGGATGACTACTTTATATTGTATGTCTAAGATAGAACAAAAGCAAGGTCATCAGGAAGTAAACTCTAGAATGAAAAGAAATGTTTCACTTCAATTACACTTCCTCATCAACAGGCTCATATGACTCTTGGTCAAAAAGCCTTTATATGAACCTGCTCAAGTTGAGAATTATTGTTGAGTTATGCTTGTTATCTAAGCCTACCAAAAGGACTGTTCTCCAACATACCAACATTCCTCTGAGAAAATAACTTTCTTAATTCATGTCATTTGTGCGCTAAAAAAAGCCAGTCAACTGAAACGGAAATGTTGTGCCTTCACTGACATGCTAAGGAATCAAAACAAATCATTATATTAAATACAGTGACTGTGTGCAAGCATTCTGAAATGAATAATTCAAAATGAAATCACAACTGCTTTGCAAATATTAAATCACTATCTTTTTGCTTTTAACATTTAAGACTATAGATTACAAGCACAAGCATGACATAAAATACAAATCAAAACACAAATACAAATGGTGAAGAGTGTTTATTCAGAGAATAGCCATTTAATGCAAAACAAATTCATGAAAAATATAAACAGACCGAAAAGTTTCAAAGAGACTGATTACACTCAGTAAGTTCTCAGCTGTCACACAGTGAACAAACTGGCTGCTATTACAGGTTTGGAGCTAATACAGAAATTCCGAGCGTTCGTCTGGTTCACATGAGCTCAATGCTCTAGCGAGGGGGAAAACCTCTGTGTGGCCCTCCCCTTCCCCTAAACCCTCCCCTGTCCCCACGGAAATTTGGTCGATTTCTTTCCCGGCCTCTGTCTCCACCTCGTCCTGCATTGGGCCCACCTCGTCCACCTCTGGGTGCTCCGCCACCACGGTCTGACTTCATCTTAGCAGGGGGAGACTTGGGCCGTAGCCTCTCTATTTCCTCGGTGCAGCCAGAGAGGTTGGAGTTAGGCAAGACAAAATGTGAGGCGTAGGTCTCAGGGTTAAAGTTACTGTTTGTCAAGGTGGGGCCCACTGTCAACCAGCCTAGAAACAGAAGACACCAAGACGAGTTAGCAACAACATGGGTGTTCAGAAACAAGCGGATACAGAGGAAGAAAAATAACTAAAACACACTAAGCACAGTGTTCGCCTTAAGTTACCCTCTATTAGGAGAGCGCATGTGTCCATCTCACCTGGTCTGATGGTTGAATCTCGTCCAAACAGGTGCAACCTCCTGCGGCCCAAACAGAAGTGCTCGATGATGTGGAAGATCTCGACAGGCTTCTCTACATTTCCCATCTCTGGCTCCTCAGTGATGATCAAGTCAATGTCCACGTTGGCGTGGATAAAGTCACCGTCAGTGCTCCTGCGCACGGTTCCTTTGATTCCCATCAGGCAGTGTTCCTTGAAGCAATGTGTTGCACATGTCTTTGTTTAGTTCAATATAGCATCTACACCCGTTTAAGTTTTAAGATGTTTGTAGATGGGTCTTGAAAACTTTAAATTGAATATCCAACATCCACAGTCCTTTAAAGAAAATAAACATGTAATATAAAATAATTGCAATAATAGACACATGTATTTCTAATTTCTGCTGGGCATGTGTATGTGAATATTGTACCTTGGTCCTCTGGAACACTGCTTTTGGGTCCAGTGCCTTGGTCTTTCCTGGTTTATTCTTATTGGTCTTGATCCAACAGATATCCTCACACCGCCTAAAGCCCCACTTCCTCAGACACTGACATGAGTGTAATAGAGATAAGCGTTATGATGGATAACATGAGCATGAGCTAACATACAACTCATGTTATTACTTCCGCCAAGGATGTTTTCTTTTTGGCCCTGTCAATTGGTTAATTGGCTGTTTTGATCGTAGTAGGATTACACAAAACAACTGAGGTCATTTCCACAAAATTTTGTTGAAGGATGGGACATGGGCCAAGAAGAATACCATTACGTTTTGGCACAGCTCAGGACAAAGGAGCGCATCCAGAATTTTCCCGTTCACTGTCTTTAACATTGTGAGATTAGTCACCCAGGGAATAATTATTGATCTTGACGAAGAAATTAGCATACTTATCGGACTGATATCTGTGAGTGTGCGCAATCTGGTGCAACTAGATTGAAATGTATTAATCCAAGATAGTACATGTATTACACTTTAACACACACACGGTATGGATTCCCTTATTATTCCACTGTGCTTCACATCAAATAGTAAATCATAAAAAATCTTAATTCACGACAAAAAACACACACACTTTGCCCTTCCATACTTTTGTTAATGGCATTAGTATAAAAAAGTTCCAAATGATAGTAAAGCAGTCAAACATCTTATCTACTTTTCTACAAAGAGCAAACATAACAACACCAGTAAAGAAGAGTTTGCCTGTAACTTAATGTGTGCGTTTGACTTTAATGTGAGCGATGAGATTACCATTCTGCCCAAGTCCAAGCCTTCACCAGAGCCGCACCACAGAAAGACGAAAGAGCGTAGAGACGATATCTCCTCAATTTCAAGTTTCATGATCTGCAACAGCAGGAGAGAGGGGTGAGTGAATGTGATGCCATAAGCACAAACCATGTAGAATGAACTAGTCTAACTCTTCATTTCTCTTGGGCTAAGTGCTTAAGCTGCTTGGTTTGATTGCTGTCTGTACGTTGGCAGGGTCACTGTGGATGCAACTCCCACTGGGAGAGTTTATCATATTCAAATCACTCACAATTCTGCACCTGGGTTTATTTATTGCAACTTGTTTTTTATTTTCATGTGTTCCTGATAATTACTGTATTTATTAGCAACAATGTTTACCCACCCCTCCATCAGCATAG